CTACCGTTGCATGGTAAGTAGGGGTGATTTTGCCCCTATTTCACACGTCTTGGACAGTTACGGTGACCAAACACTAACATACATATGTGTGTGTAATTATTATTATTATGTTCGGATTTGATGCTTTAGAAATATCCCGATTTTTGTCCACAGAAATCTGGTCACCGTATCGATAGTAGACTTAACGAGATAAACTTGTGTACATAAATTGACGGTGCCATGCCCATATTCCAAAATTCCATAATAATCTTATTTCTTTTAAAGGGATTGTTGGGAGTATTAACTTTGAGTAAATTAGCGTCCTTAAATTTGGAAATAGCGAAGTTTCCGTATTTTAGTCCGATTTCGAGCATTCTCAACGTCTTGCTTTTATTTTTTAAGTACAATAATTATAACGAGTTCGGTACAAATTTGCGTTGAAAATTCATTTAAAGGCAATATTAACAAAAGTATAACGCTAGACATTTATGTCACGTCACGTAAGGTTTCACACGAATACAAAATCGCAATCCATCAGAGAGCATTTTTGAGAATAATTTTTGAGACGTCACTGCGATTGCGAGAGGGTAATGCTAAACGCTAGCAAGAATGGAAGAACAAGCAATTTTGCAAGAAAAACATAAACAGGTTGCACAAGTGTGACGTAATATAAGCAGCGATTCTGTCAAATTCACTGGGTGCGGAATAGGGGTACCGAGATGAGCCGCCACTTTAGTTCTCTACATCGTAGTTTTACACTTGGGGTTGTAAAAGAAAATTCAAACAAGTTCCATTAATTCAAAAAAAAAAAACACCAAAAACAACTAGAATTACTACAAAGCATATTAAAATAAGTTCCATGAAAAGAGCCATCCACAATTCGCAGAGTTTTGCGATTTTGTAAGAGAAGAAAAAATCAACTTCCATTTTTGTCACATAACGTTACTCCTTTTAATTGCGTATATTTAACGACAATGCGGTTCGACTGTTTTCATTTTTCGGTTAAATACAGAGCTAAATAATTGTGTGCTAAAGAAGGGTTCAAAAAAGAAAAAAAAAAAAATAAAGAAAAAATGTTTTTCCTTGTTTTTATCTCATTAAGTGGCTACAAGTGGGCTATAAGTTGCGCTCATTTTGAATAAATTCGCTTTGGTAGTTACTGATTTAAATTTATCAGCGACCTTTAAATATAAAGTGAGCTTTAAAGCTAAACGTTACTTGAGAAAACGGCCCTGAATAAGTAGACCGATTTCCCATTTAAGGATCACCCTAATACACATATGCTTAATTACATACATATGTTCATATGTAAAATGCTAACATTTTATCATCAAATGAATGGCTGCATTGGAAGTGCTTTGTGTATAAAATATGTCATCCTATGGAATCATTCCTAAAAGTGCTTTTTTAAGTTGCTGAATTGAAATAACGCGATAAATGAAGTTATTACTAGCAATGAGCTGTATATCAATAGTACTGTACTCGTTTGTTAGGCGAATATACTTTCAAATTAATATACATATACAATTGAGGGATTCACAACGGTGTCGTAAATAAGTGTCGTATTGTTGTATGATTGGACAAAAATACAGTGTATGTAATAGTTTGTTTTTCACTCATTCGTATGTACTTATGTATAGACATAGAGAAATTTTAGTAGATGCTTCTTGCGTTGCATTGTGTCACTTGTTCTGTTACAACCCAAAAATTAACTAACAGGTAAAATTTTGAAAGCATTCTTGAAATCCATTTACCAATTTTGGTGTAATTAAATGAATTTTTTAAAACATATTGACAAATTATCTACAGTCAGTCAATAAAGTTTAGGTACAGCGATTTTCTTACAATACGGCCAACTATTTTTTAAATATTTTATTTTTCGATAATTTTTTATAAAGATATGGTTAATTCTACAACACAAAACCCAAAAATCAGAGTTCCCCACCCTATGCAAAATTAAAGAAAATTCTGCAACATTTCATTCAAATATTGCACTTTTTATTTACGCTCTCTAGAAAAAAGTTGAGTATGCAGTTTGTTAGCCCATTCAATTTTAGTATAACAAAGTGCAAGTTTGAGGTAGCTAGAACTTACCATTGATTTTTAGCAGTTTTTTTTTGTTAAATTTTGTAAATTTTGCAGGATTTTCTTTAATTTTGCACAAGGTATGGAACTTTGATTTTTGGGGTTTTTGTTGTAGAATTAACCTTTTTTTATAAAAAATTAGCGAAAAATAAAATACTAAAAAAATAGTTGCCGTATTGTAAAAAATTCGCTGTACCTAAACTTAATTGACTGACTGTATATATATAATACGCGAAGGCTTTTTTTGTTCCGCATAAAAGATCTGCCCCGTTCGATCTATTTTCAAAAATGGGGTGTAAAATCAAAGGGCTTGGCCTGTAGATGTGCAAATTGGTTTTATTTTTTTTCGAGGAGAGTTGCCACCTGTTGAATAATTAAATTTAAATTTTCCAATGCCATCAGATCCGTACCATTCGATCGATTTTCCGAAATAAGGTGTCAAATTAAAAGGCTTGGACTGCAGTTTTGAAATAAGGTTTAACTTTTTAGAAAAGAGTTGCCACCTTTTAAAAAATTAGATTCAAATTATTAAAGAAAATAAATCAGTTATTACAAAATGGGTATCAATCGAAATGTTATCGAAAAGCGTTGCTTCTTAACTTAATATAGGATGGTTGCGACCTGTTATTTTTATTAAAATTCAATTTGAAATAGGGGAATTAGGTAAGAGAAATATGTATCACCATGTGGGTGTCAAATGGTAATAGTTTGAAAATATTTTGAAGAGGGTTGCCACCTTCATAAAATGTCAAACTTAGTTAACTTATATGTATATTACAAGTTATATTAAATATCAAAAGAAAGAGTGTTAAGAAGTCTTCAGGTTGAACACTAAGAATAATTTTGAGGTTGAGGAAGGGGGTTGCTACCTGTTTAATAATTATTTAATAAGATAAATAAATTATTTAAATACGGGTGTCAATCGAAGGAGGTTTGAAAATATATATTTCTTCAGTTAATTAAAATATATATTGCAATGTCAGACGAAGAAGAGTTAACGAGGTTTAAGCTTTAAAATACTTCTGAAGAGTGCTGCCACTTGTTTAAAAATCGAATTTAGTTAACTTATACACAAGTTTTATGAAATATTGAGATATGAGTGTTAATTGATAGAAATTTATGCAAGCTTTAGTTTGAAAATATCTTTGATTAGGCTGGTCAGCTTCTCGCAAAGTCACATCGATGTAACTAATTACAGTTATATGTTTATTATTCGAGAAAGTACTCTTTGCGATAGTCATTACATTTGCACCGTTTTATGGAATTTAAAAAATTAGCGGTCAAATTAAAGACCTAAGCTTTTAAATGCGCGATAATACTACATTTTTTTATTAAGAACTTTTTTATCGGTATAGTATCAGAAATTGCTGTGCAGATTTAGATGAACAATGACAATCGGATGGCTTATAACTCCGACTAACATTTGGAATACTTTTTAGACGTTGAAATTAAATTTTGGGCGTTTTAACGCCGGGCGGCTTCACTAGTATAAATTAAAGAATGCAAATGATAGCCTTATTCGATAGATTGGTAGCCCTACTCAAAGACATGTTAGTGTTAAAGATTGTTCAAACATCTTTCGTTTGAAACCCATATTGTTATATTAAATAAGAATAAATAACGTAATCGTAACTTTTTAGAGAGGTGGCAGCCCCATTCCAACTACTTTTTTTGTTTTACTACAGAAATTCATGTATGCTGTAGAGCCTTTGAATAATTAGAAATTTTCTTGTCTGGCAACCCTGTTTTAAAATTTTTTTTGCAGAAACTCTCTACAGAAAATGCCAAGTAGAATTGGGAGAAAACAGAAGAAATCCGTTGAATTGTTAATATGTTTAAAGCTGTTAAAACTCCAAAATATCCAAAATACATGTCTTTACAATTTTTGGACACCTGGTACTTTTCGATACACCAGGGGTTTTGATACTATGGATAATAAGCTATGCCCCAAAATATATAAAAGTGTGAAATTTTGATGAAACATTGAAATTTGCATTTATTTGTATGGTTTTTGTCAGACAAAGATCTCACTCATGAAGACAATAATGATAAAAAATTAATACAGTATATATTTATATACAAAAACCGCCCAAATTACGTAAGCGACATTTTTTTCAAAATTTTCTTTTGGATGCAGAAATATTCCTATAGCATCTAGATGCATTTCTGCATCAAGAAGAAAACTTTGAAAACAATGTCGCTTACGTTATTTTGCCGATTAGGGCTCGATATGTTAGCGTTTGGCCGAGCTTCTCCTCCTTATATTTATATATATCAGCTTATATTAAAGAAAATAAATCACATAAAATGAGGTGACCAAATAAATAGCGATGCTTGATATTTCACTCGCCGGTGATAAAAATTGCAATCACCATAACGGCCATCACTAATATTGGGTGCGTTCAGAAATGCATCAAGCCAAAGCATCAGTATCTTTTATTTCTAAACTATAAGTGATGGAAATGTCTTATTTACGCAGCTAAGTTCCAATTCGGCTTTTAACCGCGGTTGCGCATATTTGACATTTTTATCAATTATAGTTTAGAAATAAAAGAGGCTGATGCTTTGGCTTGATGCATTTCTGAACGCACCCATTATCATTCATTAACTCGTTTACATTCAAAAATTACAATTCACAATTTCGTTGAGAATTTGTTTGAAAGAGTATTTTTGACGTTGAACTGAAAAAAGTACAATTGTACTTAAAATATCAACACTGATTATGCTAGCCGCTGCTTGCTCAATACATGGTTGCTTTCAATACAAACTTCTGGTTTAACTAACAAATGACAAGTTTTAAGAGGCTAGTAAAACAAGTACATACATGGTCAATGTTCTGTGATCAAATAAGTAACATTTCAAGAAAAGTTAATTTTTCTTCCATCGCTGATAGTGAGCGCACAAAATTTTGCAGTTCACCTTAAGTCATCTTATACATATATCTTATTTTGAACGGGTAGCAGTCATGCGATAAATAATCGAGTCCCTTCCGGGATCCATATTAATGAGTGCCAAAACAACAGCGAATAGAGAAAAGCTAAAGCCAACCATAAACAAAAGGATAATGTTGAATATGACTGCATAGTCTTCATCATAGGCTGGCGCTACGTTATGCTGTTTCTGAAAAATTAAGAGAGCATTGTAGGCAGACTAAGTAGATAACCCAAAATATAACTTACAAAATCAACAGGATCAATTGTTATCCATATTGTATTCTGATTTTTGGGTGTAAAAGAATCCGGACCATAGGTTAATATGCCAAAGAAATTAAACTTGAAAAGTTCTTTCAGTTTCATAAGTGTATCAACAAGTTTTTCAAATTCCAATGGCGATTTTTCGTTGAAAAAGTGGAAGGCTACAAAATTGTTTGCCCGAATATCTACAGTTATCTTTTCTACATTGTCTGATTTAATAAGATTTCGCAGCTCCTGTGCAACCGTGTTGGCTTCAGGAATATTACTTCTGATCAATTGGTTTTCCAAGCGCGTATACTATTTAAGAAGTTACTTGTAGAAATATGTACATATATCGACTAAGTAGGACAATTGAAGATAACTCACCTCAATATCTTTTGTTTTATTCGTGTATGTTTGGCGTGCTTTAAATGGCGCAAAATCAACTATGCCTCGCAGATTGGCGCCTGGATTGCGCCCCTCAATTGAATATTTGCTTATGGTGCCAAGTGCTGAATAGTCTGTTATTTGATCGAGCTTTATCGTTGCCAGCAATGCTAATTTTGGTATTTTGAAAATGTTTTTAATTTCTAACGCTGAAAATTCTCCGTTAATGGATGCATCAAGCCCTACTATGGCCCGTAGTACGTATTTGATATGTTTCAGTGGTAGGGTTTCTGTGGAATCCTTGAATAAAAATGCATCCGGATAGCTAATCGCAATAAATTCATCAGTTATGACTTTTGAAAAGAAGCACTCTGTTATTTTTTTTTTTGCTCTGCTAGAATCACACACACGCACCTGTAGTGAAAAGTATTGCGAAATACGCCAAAATAACGCCGAATTTGAGCATATTTTATTTTTGATATTTTGAAAACAAAATAATAATTACTTAACTGAAAATGACTTGACAAACAAATACGATACTCAAGATTCAACATAAGCTTGTTATGAACTTTGGATGACAAACATCAGTTTATCGGAAACACTGTGTTCTTATTCTTATCCTGATGCACAACCAGAGAAAGAAAGGAGACCCACTTATCATGTAACGGTAATTTCATTATATACCTTTTGAAGTGAAACTTCGTAATCGAGTTTGGATATGTTTGAGTTAAATATTTAACGCCAAGGTGAAAGTGGTATATAACGAAGATGTAGACAGAAAACCAAGAGCAGATTTGAATGCCACTAGGGGCGGGGAGAGACAAAGACAAAGACAAGGGTGTAGAAAAAAACAAATATTATGATAACTATAAGAATAAGTATAAAGATAACAGAGATATATATAAATACAAAGTCAAAGGCAACGAAAAAGACAAATGAAAGATGAAGGTGAAAATAAGAGACGAAGCTGAAATCAACCAGCCCCCTTCCTATCGAAAAATATTAATTTTCAAGAATTCTATACCATTTCTACGCAAAGCTTTATTTTTCCCATATAAACATACATGGAAAACTTTGAGCTCAGAGGTATACTTTTCGATATAGAGCAATCCTAGGGGTGAGAGCATTACAATTCGGACCTATAGTACATACGTATATCCATGTATGTATATCCCCACCAATGTACGTGAACCGACGCTTTTTTAAATTTATCTGCTTGACAAGAAGTGCAATAAAGTTTGGTTATATGTGTGCAATGTAGTAAACACATCAGTGCAAAATTTTCATGTATACAAATACATATATGTACATATATACTTACATATACATAACTATGTAAACATTTAGGGCTGAACATCGATTCAAAGTTAAACCATAAATCAATTCCATCAAATGCAAATCGCACTTGAGGGACGCACTCGAAAGGATAGCAACAAATACAATGGCAGCGACAATATGTCAAATTCAGAGTACTCAGCAACGATTGCTAAATATACATATATTTTCTTACAGATATACCTAGATATGTATGTATGTATGTATGATGTAACGTACATATGCAGTTAGTTGCCTTCGCCTTTCGTAAGGTCTCAATGGCATTAACTGAACGAACGAGTGAGTACTTGTTATTGTTATCGATTCCCCAATGCAAATCGATGCATTACCAATGAGAAGGCTAAGCAGCAGGCAGTAAAAAGCATGCAGCATGCATTATTGAACGCTGTCATGGCGACTGTTGCAATGTCAATTATGCACCAACAAGTTGGCGTATTTGCTGTTGTTACTTTATTGAAAGGCATGACGCGAATACATACTTACATGTGTATTTGTAGGTAACATCCCTGCAGGGAAAGCTACTACTTAGTACTAAGCCAGCTTACTACTATGCATTTTAAATCTCTTGCTAAACTAGTTTTTCTTCTTTATTTTTGATTCACATTTAGAAGATGGTATTAAAACTTTGGTCGGGTGTTTCTAAGTATCAGAAAAAGAAGAGATAGGCCCATGAAAATGTATGTACACTTAAATGATCAGAACGTCGAGCCGAGCCGATTTAGCCATTTCCGCCTGCCAGTCTGTCAGTCTGTTTGAATGCAATATAGTCCCTCAGTTTTCTATACATATATTCGACTGAAATATGGTAAGTCCCCTTTCAGACACGTCAAGTCTTGAAAGCAATTTTTATCGCATTCTCTTTTGTGTTTTCTCTTTGCTTCCACACGCATCAAGTTTTATTGAATTCAACTACATACTTGGTTCTTTAAACGGGAAGCAACGAAAAGATCAAAAGAGAACAAGAAAACTTGAAACGAATTGATGGTACGGAGGTATCTGTACTCTTCCCCTCTCTTCCCACCTCCTTCACCAACGAACGAGAAGACTTGAAAGCAAGACTTGACGTGTCTGAAAGGGTACTAAGCTGGTATATTTTTATAATGTAACTGTATACTGTAACATAACATTTTTTGTTATAACTCCTCCATTTATGAAAGTACGAACATGAAATTCGGTGCTATTTTCCCTCAATATAGAATAGTGGTAAGCAGTGTGCGCTTCCACTCCGCAACGCCTGGTTTCAAACCCTGGTCAAAGCAACATCGCAAAAAAATATAGAAAAACGGGTTTTTCTTAACAGCGGTCGTCCCTCGGCAGGCAATGGCAAACCTTAGAGTGTATTTCTGCCATGAAAAACAGCTTCTCATAAAAATACAATCGCCGTTCGGAGTCGGCATAAAACAGCAGGTCTCTCCACTTTGTGTGACAATATCAAGGCGCACACCACAAATCGGAGGAGAAGCTCGGCCAAACACTAACATATGTGTAAGCGCCAGTCTTATTAACTATTACTATAGAATAACAATAGGGCTACCAAATGAAAGTGCAAAATATGAAGAATTGAAAAATTGCTGTTTTGTTCGCAAGGACGAATTATTAATTAATTACTTACTAATGAAAAAAATCGATGGATAAATAACGAATTATAAATGAAAATGCGCAAAGATTTTTTTTTTAATATGAGCAGAAAAGCGTGTTATACAGGTGTATAAGGCGTATGAGTTAATTCTTTCCTGCTTATTTTTCATACAAAACATCTTTGCGCCTTTTCATTTGACCACTTCATTAGGAACTTGATTTTTTTTTTTTTGTAACAAAACCAGATTTAACACAAATGCAAAAAATTGACACTGAATTTCGTGTTTTTTTAATTGTTCTTCGGTTAAAGTATGATTTTCTTGAATTAAAAAAAAAACGACAGAACACTGGAATTTAGATTTAATTTCTCAGAAACTATCAGCCCTATCGAAAAGCGACGTATATACGGTTTATGGAGCATTTTGTTGTCTTTCATTCGTCGTACTCCGCATTAAGAGCATAAAATTGGCTCGTAAGTTATACGTGCTTAAGTGAAACCACTTTTTGTTTTAAGTTGAATAACGGTTAATTGAAAATATATCGAAAACTGTTCCATAGAATGAAAAATTAACTCGATTTTCCGAATCAGCGGGCGATTCTACATAGGTTATGGATAGGGGCATCCGTGGAGCAGAAAAAAAAACACAAATTTGTCATCCAGTGCCATTTTTAATAATTTATTTGGTACCTAACTATCTGGCGGTTAGTTTAATTAGATTTTAAAATGCATCTATTTTATATTTGATGTTCTCTATTTAGAAACCAACCTTTGAAATAAAAAATCAGATTTAATTTAAAGACGGTGTAAGAAATAAAGGACAATATGCGTCCTTTGCTTGGTAAAAATTTATAAAGGGCAAAGGGCGAAAATAAAGGACTGTCCTTTAAAATATGGAACGAATGGTCGCCGGAGATATAATGGAGAATTTTGCGAAGAATTAGGTAGTACTTAAGTAAAAATTAAATAAAGCAATCAAATAATGAATTAGGGTAAAAAGAAAATTGCAATATAAAAGCAATTGAAAAGAAAGCCTTCTTTGTGCATACATACACGCATATCCATAGTAACTATGTTGCATAAAAGAGATAAAGGACAATAACTAAAGCAAATCAATACATATGTATGCCACTGACCTGTAATTCGCGCAACTCGTGCTGGTCAACCGAAAACCGAAAAAAGGGAAAATTGTATACAGTGCATCCTGCCGCTGCACGACCACTATTTGCATTACATCAACCGCCAGCTGCCGAATGCCATAAAACAGCAACAATACGTTAAATGCAGAAACTTAAATAGTAACGAACGTATATGTGTACATGTACATGTACATGTACATAAAAGTAAACATACATATGTATTGCAATTTTCCTTACTGTTTTTTCGGACATACGAAGCGAATGAGTGAAAAGCAATTTACTGCATTGCATCAAAAATGGCGCAGGAGTGTCAGAAAAATACAACAGCAACAGCGGGAGGTACAATGTAAGCGATGAACTGAAAATTTAAAACTAAATGAAAATGAAAAGCTGACTACATACAGCAAGAAATGCAACAATATCAATCAACCAACGAGCCAACCAACCAACCAACCACTGTGATGACAAGTAACATGGGGAAACAACTGCAATGAAGGCAGAGCGAATATTTTGCGATTGGAGAGTTTCATGATTACTCTGGCATGCGTTCAAAAAAAAAAATNATACATACATATATAAAAAAAGAAAAAAATTTAGTGCTTAATAACTAAAAAAATACTGGTAACCTAGATTCTTTATATATTAATATTTTTTATTCAACCATAGTGAGCAACACCAACCGACGGCAACCGGCAACCATTCAACAAACATTGGCGACGATATCAAAGTTGAGTGGCTGATACTCGAACTACAATTGTAAAGAGACAGAGAATAGAGAATAACATGCAATTCCTTCCCAATGCACATATCAACTGTCAGTTTAGCGTAATATAAAGTTATTTAGTTGTCATCGAGCTACTGAATATTTATTTGAACAGACAGTAAAGTACTAAATAGTAGAGACCGAGGCGAAGAAATTTACTGTTGCCACTAAAAACATACGAAATAGTTCATAAAATAATATAGACAGCGGAAACTTGTGTATTTTGAATGACAAAGCCTGCGGGTGTACAACACTCTGATTAAACTTCGAGTCCTAAGGATGTGTGTTTTGCAGAAATAACAAAGATCGGGTCACTATAACCTGCAGCCCCCATACAACTGATTGTTCAGATATGAGGTCTTTTATCATAACTCGTCCATTTATGCAGCTAGGAACATGAAATTTCGCACCATTTTCACTCATTATCAACAGAATACTTACAGTGAAAATAACAAGGATCGGATGACTACAACATATATCTTCCATACATCTGATTGTTCAGATATTGGATTTTACTGTAAAACTACTTTATTTGAACAGCTAAAACCGATAAATTTCGTAAGATANGTTTGATCAAACACATGGGCACATGGCGTATGAGTAACATTAATTTCTGTTTATACCCCGTAAAACTTAGCACGACTTTTTCAAAC